CAGGTCACTGAAGCAAACTATTGTAGATAATTTGTCTGTCTTCTCACTAACCCTGGTCACTTAAATACAGATAATAAAGTTTATACTCTAAGACTGAATCCTCTCAGTTTTGGAATATGAAGCCCAACAGGCCAAGCAGTTTTGCCTACACAGACACTTTATGATCCCAATGTCCTTTGCCTGGCTTGAAATGGTCCAGCCCAAGCCCTGGGTACCCAGGTGATCACCCTCCTCCGCTGTAGAAAATTAAATTTGCAATACATGTAATATATTGGAAAAGGCTTGGAAGCACTATGAGGATGGTTAGCTGGGTGACCAAGTAAAAATGCGTACTTTATCATACAGTTTAGGTCCACTTTAAAAGGGAGAACAAGGTCAGTAGGAACAATGACACTGCACTATACTGTCAAGAAGTAAATAAATCTTTTCAAAGTATTTGTCAACAATTCCCCACCCTTTTTTTGGCCCTAGCACTTGTGAGCATTTGGCAGGTGTTATGAATACACACTAGCTAACAATCACGGTAGTATGTATAAGGTCTAATACTAACACTTCCTTCTCTGGCACAGATGAAGTCAGGGTAACTTTTCTGTAACTAATTCCAACCCCCAAAGTCTACTTTGGGAGCATTACTACCATTTTAGATGGATAACCCTCATGCCCGGTAAAGATAAAATATTCTTAGGTTAGGAACAATTGCCTTGAAAACTTTACATCTGGTGTCATGATGCCATAGATGGTACTAGGAACCACCAAAAAGTAAAGAGCAAGCAAAGACTCAATGACTCTTCTGAACAACTGTAAACCAGATCACATGCTGAAAAGGAAAGATGCATTAAATAAAATAATACTTTGAGTTCAGTGGCCCTTCAGTGTTACAAAGTCATAGCTAGAAACACAAATTCCGTTCTGGAGGTCAGTCTAAAGATTGTGGTCTTAGATTCTGTTTTCAAAGCTGGCCATACACCTATAGATTATCTGCAGATTTTCTATGGTCAGATGGAAAAAGTGCAACAGGTTTCTCCATCTACGCTAAACTGTGTGGATGGAGGAATCTCCCACTGGGCTAAGCTTCAGTTTCTTGCTAGTCGGCCCCCTGCTGGCTTTCAAAATACCTGAACAATGCCTGCATGTAATCAGATTTTTCAAGTATTTTGAAAGCCAGCGGGGCCGATTAGCAAGATACTGAAGCTTGGCCCAGTGGGAGATTCCTCCATACACAAAGTTTAGCGTAGATGGAGGAATCTGTTGCACTTTTTCCATCTGACCATAGAAAATCTGCCGATAATTTATAGCTTAAGACAGCCAGCAGCTTTTGGAGATTCCATAGGATCCACTTATATCTTGGACAATTGGATACATTGGGCTGCTGTAGCTTACTACGCAATGTTATCAAAGGCGAAACACACAATATATGTGTGCGATGTGCTAAGCAACGATGACCCCAAGAAAAATTAGTTAATATTTTATGCCAAAAAAAATACATACCACAATTTTTTCTTGATGGTAAAGCATTTTTGGTTAATCCATCAATTACATTAGTAAAAGTCTAATTTTCAAGATTTTCAGGAATTATTAAACAGACTAGCATACAGTTCTTTTCTTTCCAGTCAGTTTGGCTATCAGAATTTGCGGTGGAAATGAAGGGGGGAACCAGTTCCCATCCATGGTTCTGCAACCTCTACATGCGTTAGAAGAAAACACTTAAGCTCTCCCTTAAACAGTCTGCACAAGAAACTAAGATATGAGAAAGTTCATATTTAAAACTAACCTTTGTGGACTGTTCCAAAAGGTTAATAATAACCATAAAAAAGGTGTACTTTAAAACAAGTTAACCTGATATGAAAATATTTTACAACACATAAATACAAGTCTTCAGCATACATTCTATTAATGAGAAAGGATTGTAGAAACTAAAAAGTGTACAGTAGGCTTGCTGTTATCAAAAATAACCATCTGAATCTAATCATTTGAGAAAATATTCAAATATTTTATTGGCAATTATGCCTCCCTAAGGTATACCTTAAACTGGCTCTGTCAAAGTTGCTGATAGGGGTTAAGTGCAAATCAGAGGTGCTTGCACACACTTGCAGTAGCATCCAGTCCACCTCCTTCACCCAAATGCAATGTTGTGATCAGGCAAAGCTTCAGCATTTCTTGTTAGCTTCAGCATTATTCTCATCTATTCTTACTGACCAGTGAGGCAGTCCATTATAGTGATGACCCAATAGGAATATATGGGCGGAAGAATGGAATGTGCAAGTTTGAACACTATCAGATAGCATCGGAGCTTTGCCTTATGATAATAGCCTAACATTTGGGCACAATGAGAAGGCTAAAAAGCTGTTGCAAGGATGTGCATATACCTTTAGGCATCCACACTTTATAACTGTCAGCAACTTCTTTGGTTCAAGTGACAAAGTAAGGTTTAATAGCTAGATTTTTGCCAATAGAGCCATATCAGTGCAGGTATATTTATCATTTTGAATGTCCTTTTACATAGCACCAACTTGCCAACACATTTGCTAATGTCAGCTGTCAACCTGGAAATTTTCTGATGATTTTGTTTTGATGGGTAGATATAAGTGAAAGTGCGAATGTGCATTATTACAAACTAGTAGTCCCTTCACTGGAGCCATTTTTTAAAATGTATTTTATTGTTTATCCGATTAACCGAACTTAATAATCGGCTAACTAATCGATTTTGAAAATAATCGTTAGCTGCAGCTCTAATCTAATGGAATCCTATCTGCATAGTCTCTCTTACTTGGTTCCCCTGGGTCTTTAAAGTGGATCTCCATGCTGTAATCACCAGTTTCTGAAAGATCCAGCATCCATCAAATTACAGTGTGTATAGAAAAGAAATCACCCCCCTTTAAAATAATCACATTTTGTTGCTTGCCAGCCTGAAATTAAGACAAACACAGTTTTTGTTTTATTCAGCTGTATTTACTCAGTGCAACTTAGAACATCCAAGTGAAATATATAACACCAACATGTGAGAAAAAAAAAAAAAGAATTCAACTGAGTTGGAAAAAGAATGATTTGTAAACTCAATCAGGTGCAGCTAATCTCCTTTTTAATGGCACACAAAGCCATTTGACTTTCATCTGTGATCATTTTGATTAGCTCAGCATGAAAAGAGCTCTCCTGGAGCATTTCAGTCCCTGGTAGTGCAACTGAAGCAAACGATCAACTACGGGTCGCAAGGCACTGTCAAAAGATCCCTTGGATAAAGTTGTGGACAGGCACAAGTCAGGAGATGGATACAAAACGTTTTCAAAGGCTTTATCAATGCCTAGAAGCACAGTGAAGTATATTATTAAGAAGTGGAAGGTATTTGGTACAACACAGACCCTCCCTGGATCAGGACGTCGCTCCAAATCGGAAAGAGCCAAGTGGAAACTAGTCAGAGAGGCTACCAAGAGGCCCACAGCAACTCTGAAGCAGTTCTAAAGCAGGAATTTATGACAAAGAGTGGTCATTGTCTGCATGTGGCAATATTACAAATTCTCCACAAATGTGGCTTGTATGGGAGAGTTGCAAGAAAAAAGCGACTCAAGAAAGGCCACATGCAGTCACGACTGAGCTTTGCTGAAACGCACCTTGAAGATTCTGAAGCCACATGGAAAAAAGTGTTTGGGTCAGATGAAGTGTAGGTAGATAGAAGAACCCTCCGCACACCTTACAGCATTCCCGGCCTATGCAACAGTGGTGCTCGCAGTGATGACCACAGATGGCGCCATGCAGATACAAGATAGAAGACAAGGATCACCAGCACTCAGTAATATCTTTCAATACAAGATAGAAGACAAAGATCACCAGCACTCAGTAATATCATTCAATAATTATTGAAAGATATTACTGAGTGCTGGTGATCCTTGTCTTCTATCTTATGGTCAGATGAGACTAAAATTTAATTATTTGGCCTCAACACCAAACGATATGTCTGACGGAAATTCAATACAGCTCACCATCCAAATAAGACCATTCCTACAGTAAAGCATTGATGTGGTAATATCCTGTTATGGGGTGTTTCTCTGCAGCAGGGACTGGAGCACTTGTCATGATAGAAGGAAAAATGGATGGGCCAAAATACCGTTCTTGAGGAAAATGTGCTGCCAACATGACAATGGTTGAAGGAAAAAAAGGTGAATGTCCTTGCATGGCCTAGTCAGAGCCCAACCTAAACCCCATTGAAAATATGTGGAATGGCTTGAAGACTGCAGTCCACAAACGGTCAAATTTAACTGAACTTGAGCAGTTCTGCAAAGAAGAGTGGGCAAATATTGCAAAGTCTAGATGTGCAAAGTTAGTGGAGACATATCCCAACAGACTAAAGGCTGTAATTAAAGCAAAATGTGATTCAACAAATTACTGACACAAGGGGGTGATACTTTTTCCAACTCAATAATTGTTTTTGAATTTTGTTAAAAACAAAGTCTGACACGTTGGTGTTATATCTTTCACTTGGATGTTAAAAGTTGCACTGAGTAAATACAGCTGAATAAAACAAAAACTGTGTGTCTTCATTTCAGGCTGCAAAGCAACAACATGTGATTATTTTAAAGGGGGGGATTCTTTTCTATACCCACTGTACATAGATTGCACTCTCAAAATTGGTCACCCAAGGCCATAGAGGACACATCCAGTTTGCTGTATAAAACTCCATGATACGTCTAATACTTGGTAGTAGACACTATAGTGAATGAGAATATTTTCTCATATGTTACAGTTGCTGGTCTGAGAAGGTACTCTATATTTAAACTGTACAGCAGAAGTGTCCTTTCTATGGACTCCTTTCAGCCGTCATATACATGACAAGCTCTGCCACAAACCACCCAAGCTCTCTCTGTGTGGCACCAGTAGTATGTATTCTTTATTCACTGGATTCTTAGTGCTCTGTTGGCAAGATCTCGGTGCTGGAGTTACTTTGTCAGCCACTTTTTTATGAGCTTGCCACATTTTTTCAATTCTCTGGTGGGGGCTACCTGATGGACAACAGAAATAATCAAGGAATTCAGTTTGTCACTGTCTACAGAAAACGTAAGTATCATTTTGGGTGGACCTGGTCTTTAATATGTGGTTCTAGCTAGTATTATCACTAGAAGAGCAGTGTGGGAAATAGAACAGTCTAGTTGTGCACTCGATCTAACACATATATGCAGGCACATCATAGAATTTAAGAACACCATTTGGCTGCACGCTACAAACTACGGTGATCAAATTCACCGTTTGGCTACACAGTAGACTGTCAACAACATCAAAGGAACGTACCTGCATAAGGCTTTGTTGGTCGACAGAACAAAAGATCAAAGTCTACAGACTAAGCAACAAAGACAATGCTAAACAAAGTCACTAGAAAACTAATGTAATTCTATGACACACTACTCTTTTATTGTAAATGCCCTTCTCTTTGAATTCGTAGGCGCTCCTTCTCGACCTGCAGACGCTCCTTCTCTATATGAAGCTTCTCAGACTCAAATTTTAAAAGTTGAAGCCTCTCCTTCTCTAGTTGCAGGTGTTCCCTTTCCAGTTTTAATTTTTCCGCTTCTATGTCCAAGGGCTGCAAAACAGTTTTTTCCGCTGGCGCAAAATCATTCTCCATGTTAGCCTTCTCAGCGTGCATGACCTGGAGCCTCAACTTTTCTCTTTCAATTTGCAGACGCTCTTTTTCAACCTGTAATCTCTCATGCTCCATATCTAAGTGTCGCAAGCGCTCTCGTTCAATTTGTAGTCTTTCTTTTTCCACTTGGAGCCTTTCAGCTTCAATACTTAATCGTTGTCTTTCCAGCTCCAGCTTCTGCTTCTCTAGTGATATGAGCAGATGGGAATCCTTGTATGGAATTCTGGCTATAGAACTCAGGGTGCCAAACTCCTCAATTCTGGGAAACTCCTCAGGAAGATCATTTTCTTCTCTAGAGTCAGGTAAGACCGTGGACAACATTTCGTCCTCTTCCATCTCAAACTATGTAGGAAACATAAAGAAAAAATGTAATAGAGAAATGTACAAAATGTAATAGGGAACAAAATATCCAAGTTTCATTACAACGGACCTTCACTATCAACACAAAATGTATTGGAAAATATATTTTGTGAATATCTGCCTACTCTGCCTTTTATTTTACATTATGGATGTGATGTCACGTAAAAATTGAACTCCAGCCTTACCTTCAGTCAGTTGTACAGTATCGTTTTCTGTACTAAAATTGCTTATTCTGATTTTTCTGCACACTGTTAGAAGCTTAGTGTGCACAAGAAGCCCCAGCAAGTCAGATAGAGACCTCCTCATTTCCTGTTTGGAGGACACCCAGCATTATCTAGCTCCTTCCTCTCCAGACTTACTGTCCCTGGATGAGCCGACTTCATTTACTGGATTTCAGTTCTTTTAATTGTGAAGGCTTAGTATAACATGTGGGTGTTAACAAGGGCATTCTGCATGCAAATGCAGCTTGCCTAGGAATGCTCACCTATTCCGTCTGACATCCACAGATCAAGGAATTCTGATGTTTGCATAACTCCTCCCAAGAGTCAGCCCACTGATCTTGAGAAGAGTACTGAGGACGTGTACTGTGAGGTTTTCAGGAAACTATGTACAGCTTCCTGCTGACCCCTCCACCAGCCATGATCTACCTGCATTGCATTGAAAAGCATAGAGACCTAATGATGATGTTACTGGGTTAAAAATAAGATATCTAATGAAAATGGAAAGGTTTTATTAAAAAAAAAAAAAAAAATCATTAGGGGAAAAAATTAAGCGGCTTAAACTTCAGCTTTAGAGAGCAGAGCTGATCTCCAGTCAGATGAAAACATCATGGAAGTATGTGTTCCCTGAAAAAAAGATAAACAATTTTCTTTTATTAGAAGAAACCTGTACTGAGGAATCAGGAAGGCTTCAACTGATGATCTCTTCTTAGTGCCATAATTACTTTCTCACTTATTGACCAAGAACAAGTATCTAGATGAGGAATTCTGACTTCACCATGACTGTCCTGATCATATGAGATTAACTATTTCAAAGTAAATAGTTTTGACTTTCTTAAAGCATTTGACTACGCTTCTTAACCCCCTGGCGGTATGATTTTTAATTTTTTTCATGTCATTTTTTGGTCTATTTTTTTTCGAATTTTTTCGTCTTTGTCGTTTTTTTTATTATTCCGCCGGTTCCGCCCCTTTGCGACGCATACACTCGCAAGCGACGGAACCCGGCATCGGCCACAGAACACAGCGCTCGAGGGACAAGGTAAGTAAATGCTGTGCGGCTTTCCCGAGTGTAGCTCAGGGTTACCGCTTATGGTATGGAAAAGTAACCCCGAGCTACACTCGGGAATACCGCCAGGGAGGTTAAAGATGTGTAAATTTAGGGACTTGCCAAAAAAAAAAATGCCAATTGCATTCACCTTGGCATTAATTTGACAAGCTTATGCAATGCCACAACATTTCTTTCCATCCAGAGCTGCATTCATTTTTCACAAATATCTATAGTAGTGATGATGGGAGAGTCAGACCACTGGGTAAAGTCTTCTCCAGCACATCCCAAAGATTCTCCATAAGATTAAGGTCTTGACTCTGTGGTGGCCAATCCATGTGTGAAAATGATGGCATTGTTGGAACATGCACCCGCCACAGAAAAAATCCATGGGTAGAAAACGTAAAGATTAATTTTAAAAAATTGTGATTTAAGCATATGCAAAGACTTAACTTTTCTTTTTAAGTTTTGTAGAACTTTTAAAACCCTATCATTCTTTTTTTGGGCTGTGTTCCTTTGGGGAGATTTCCTTTTCTGTCTCAGAGGGGTTGATTTACTAAAGGCAAATAGGCTGTTCGCTTTGCAAGGGAATTTTCACATAGCTTAGTGAATGTGGTGAAAATTCACTTTGCAAAGAATACCCAATCACGAACAGGAAACTAGATGATGGAAGTCAGCAGAGATGATGTAAAGAGAGAGAGAAGGAGAGAGACGAAGAAAGGGAGAGAGATTGCTTTACTAAAGGAAAACAGGTTGCTCAATTTGCAAGGGAATTTGCACTTTGGAATATTGTAATGGGCTTGGTGAATGAGGTGAAGCTCTGCAGACTTCCATAATCTCATCACATGCAAGCAGGTAAGACCTAATTTTAAATATGCAGTTCAGTTTTGGCCACTGGTTCACAAAAAAAAGAATATTGTAGAATGGGAAAGTGTGTAGAGAACGGCAAATACATTATTAAAAAGGCATGGAGGAGCTTTGCTTCTCACTTGAAAAGAGACGATAAAGGGGTCATACAGTACATTATGAGAAACGTTCACTTTACAGTCAGTACAACAGACAAGGGGCAATCATTGCGCCTGGTGAAAAGGTGGTTTCACCTCTTCATAAGTAAAGGATATTTTACTTTTTTATTATTTAGGATTTATTTAATTGCTTATGGGGATACAAAATACAGTGTTTCCCTGTTACAGCACACTGGACAATGCTTTTATAACAGGTTTTACCTTCTTCAGAACATCTCCAATCTTTTTTTTTTGGGTTGAACTTGATGGACCTGCAACTTTTTTTCAGCCTGAAAAACTATGTTAATATGTACTGTCCCTACATATAGACAGACAGAAAGGCATTTTCAGAAATGTAATCTCAAGTACCGTTTTTTAAAAACAGCATATTGTAACAAGGACACGGCCTACCTTTTGACAATTAAATCCCTTATATTTTAATAATAAACATTTTAAACAAAAGTTGATAGGCAATGTATAAAACTTTTAAAACCTTCAAATGTAATCAGGACAGAAAAAAAGTAGGCAAATATATGGATGAACAGTTTTCCTTAGAGTATGTCTTGGCTAAATCTTAAAAAAGCACCTAACCAGCAAAGCTCTCTGATACATGTACATTTCCCCACATGTTGCAAGGACTTAAAAATATGTGGTGATCCTGCCAGAAGTGTCTCTAGTGAGCTGACAAAATAGTGCCTCAATAAAATTCCAACCAGTCAGCCCTGCTTGACTAAAGTATTTTTTGTTTTTGTTTCAAAATTGTTGCAGAATTGTTTAACATTAAAATTGATTTTAAATAGATCTATTCCTCTTACCACATTCCATAACAGTTGTGCGCTCGCCATTTTTAGCGTTTTTATCTTCCTGCTTGACTAGAGAACACCTCCCTCTCTCATCTTCATAACTCATTTCTAGCAGTACCTTCTGTTTCTCCCCCTCTTCTGATATTTCACTGCAGCATAGGCAGTGTTGTCAGTTGTTGGGGAATTTTGCACATGGCTTCATCAGGCTACATTCCTAGTGGTCATGGTCTAGTACAGTTATGTGGGAAGAAGCAAGAGAGTCTTGTGGTTATCTTACTCCAAGAGAGCTTGTTATGGATAAATAATAAGACTGTCTTCTGGAAATTCACAGAGCTTTGGATGTCTAGAAGGTTACAAAAGAGGGTTTGGCTGGTATACTTGCGGGGTATGCCATATGTTAATCAATTTCTTTACACAAATTATCAAATGGTATCAATACAGTATATAATTGAAATGTAAACAAACAAGCAATTTTCTCTTTGCTGCTAAAGTGCCATGTATATACAGTTAATACACTTGGTATATATTTTCAATGCACAAGACAGCGGTTCTGCAACACAGCCAAATATAAGAAGTTAGAAGCTCATTGGATTTCAGGCAGGATGTAATGCTAGGAAATCTGTTAATTTAGGCTCTACGGTAATCTTCAACTAAGCAAGCATTTACACAGACAAAAAGTGTAAATAAAATACCGTATCTCGACTGAATAAAAAATATAAAAAATGCCAATTACAGAAAACAATAGCCACCCTGAAGTCCATTTTTAATAAAAATACTATTGAATGTATTGTGTATGATCTGGAGTGAAGCCAGTTTACACCACTGCTGGACACACTTAGGTTGCACTTATATATAAACAAAATGAAAATATATTGTAAAAAAATACATACTGTAGTTTATGTAATACAAAAGATATAAATGTGACGCTGTACAGTATATGTTTGGCTTCAACATACACTGCCTAGCCAAAAAAAAGTTGCACACTCTAATATTTTGCTGGACCACCTTTAGCTTTCATTATGGCACACATTCACCTTGGCATTAATTTGACGAGCTTATGCAATGCCACAACATTTCTTTCCATCCAAAGCTGCATTCATTTTTCACAAATATCTATAGTAGTGATGATGGGAGAGTCGGACCAGTACGTAAAGTCTTCGCCAGCACATCCCAAAGATTCTCCATAAGATTAAGGTCTTGACTCTGTGGTGGCCAATCCATGTGTGAAAATGATGGCATTGTTGGAACATGTCCCTGCCCAAGAAAAAATCAATTGATGGAAAAACCTGGTCATTCAGTATATTCAGTTAGGCAGCTGACCCTATTTCATGAGCACATAGCGTGGCTGCACCTAGATCTGAGTAACTGAAGCAACCCCTATAGCTCTTACCTATTTGCTTAGCTAAATCCAGGTGGTGACTTTTTTTTGGGCCAGGCAGTATAAATCGTAGCAAAGAACCCATGGAAAAAGTGAATTTAAAGAAGAAAATGCAAATTCACAGATCACAGTTGCAAAAAAAAAAAAAAAAAAAAGTGCATTGCATGTGCACATGGCATAGCCAAGTATTTCACCAAGTGCAGTGCTCCAAGTTCCGTTGAACCACCAGTTGAGCAGTGCCAAATTTAAATTGTTTTGCAAACTGTATATGTTTAACCCCTTCCTGCTGGCATAACACCTATATGCAGCATCATATAGGTGGGCTTTTTTACCGTGATGTGGCATTTATTGCAGTATGTTTTTGTGGTAGGAGTGCACTCAATTGCATGCCCCCCAGCTTGGAGACTGAACTGTTACCGACAGCTCCTGATCTCGGACTAACAATCCATAGCCAGGAGGACCAACTCCAGATCACCTGATCACTATGCTAGCCAAACATAATATATTGTATGTTTGTGACAGTTTGATCCAATC